CCCCATGACTAAGTACAAGAAAATAATTAGCAAGTAATTCAACAAGTATGCGACCCCTGCCGGTCCCAACAGTACCATCACATAGCCTAAGCATGATTTCTAACATGATTTATAGTTAAATTTCTATAACACAGGGAGAGCATATAGCTAGCAACAAGTTATTCAACTTTACAGTTTCACGGAATGTACCAAGTCCCAATTCCTACGGTGCACACCCACACGCCTGTCACCTAGCATGTGCGTCACCTCCAAAATACTCACATAATCCAATAATCTGGGGTTTCATATCCTCACGACCAGATTTAAAACTGTTACTTACCTCAAACCGCGCAAAATTCTACTCCGCAATGCCTTTGCCCCTCGAATCAGTCTCCAAATTTCCCAAGTTTTAACCCAAATCCGACATTTTATGATGAAATTAATGATAGATTAGTGGGATATAATGTGTAGAATCATTACCCAAACGATGTCTCTGAAAATCCCTAGAAATCTCATCCAAATCCGAGCTCCCAAACTCAAGTTTTGATAAAAATGGCCAAACCCTCGTTTTTGAATCTTTATATCTGCCCAGTTAATTCCTTCTTCACAAACGCAGTCAAAGCCTCGCGTTCGCATTGAACAAAAAATAATGTTGACCAGAATTCCTCTTTCGCAAACGCGAGTGGCCTCTCGCGAACGCGTACCTTTCACTAGCATACCCTACGAAAACGCAGGACCCTCTTCGCGAACGCGTAGGCTTAAATGCTTGAAGCTCCATCTGCCCGTTCCTCTCCACGAACGCGAGGACCATGTCGCCAACGCGTAGCCTTAGGGTTCCACATCTTCGCGAATGTGAGGAGTAACTCAACTGGACTTCCCAGATGCCTTACGCGAACGCGAGAACTCCCTCACGAACGCGGTACAGAAAATGTCTGCAACAAAATATCAGAAAATCTGCTATCTTCCAAAGTCCAAAAATGATATGTTAAGCATTCGAAACTCACCTGAGGCCCCCGGGATCTTAACCAAACATACCAACCAATCCTAAAACACCATACGAACTTAGTCGAGTCTTCGAATCACTCAAAAAAAATCAAAACACCAATTACACCCAGATTCAAGCCTAAAGAACTTCTAAACTTTCAAATTTCACAAACGACATTGAAACCTACCAAACCACGTCTGATTGACCTTAAATTTTGTACACAAGTCATATTCAATATTACAGACCTATTCCAACTTCTAGAATCGGAATCCGACCCCGATATCAAAAAGTCAACCCCCGGTTAAACTTTCCAAAATTCGACTTTCGCCATTTCAATCCTAAATTAGCTACAAATCTCAAATTCGCAATCAGAATACGTTCCTAAGTCCGAATCACCCAGCGGAGCTAACGAAACCGATGGAACTCCATTCCAGAGTCGTCTTCACACACTTCCGACTACGTTCAAAAATCATGAGACTTAAGCTTCTATTTTAGGGACTAAGTATCCCAAAATACTCTGAAATCAAAAAATAAAACCTCCCGGCAAGTCACATAAGCAGAAACAGATACGGAAAAAAACAGTAAATAGGGAATCAGGGCTAGTACACTCAAAACGACCGGCCGCGTTATTACACCAATAAATCAGATATAATAAAGTAGACAAGTATGAAATATAGTAAGTAAACAGTGAGAAAAGATATAGGCAAATAATACGGTCTACAATTGAACAGTGAACACAAAGTCCTCAATTGTCGGATGCCTCCTCAAAAGGAATACTTAATGGTCAACACCAAATCAACCGTCACATCTTAAGTTAGGAAACTCATGAGTACGCGGATTCCTTATCAAGTATTTCGCACGATTCTACCGAGGCGAGCGGCCCGATCCCATAAGAGTTGTTTCATAGAACTGCTGAGGTGAAAGGTCTGATCCCATAAGAGTGTATTACATAATTCTACCGAGGTGAATGGCTCTATCCCATAGGAATATGATATATGATACTGCCAAGGTGAACGGCCCGACCCCATAAGAATATATTACTCTGCCGAGGAGAATGGCCCAGTCCCATAGGAGTATTGCTAAGGTCTTAAGCCCGATCCCATTAGAATATGAAACTTTGATGGGTCATTGACCCCACTCATGAATATACGTGTGAGTTATAAAAAAATTTTAAAAAATTATTGGACGAATACGCCCAACGCAAAAGAAATCCGTAAAGGAAAGTACAATTTACACAGCTAATCAGGTAGATCATCAAGTATCTAAAATAGTAAGTCTAATACTCTACGCGAGTCTAGTCTCAGGCAAGATATAAATTAAAGAATTTAAACCGACATGAATAACTCAAATAGTATAATTAAAGAATGGCGTGAGTTTAAGTCTACCGTGACATCAGGAATTCTAGCATAAGTACGGACGCTCGTCATCTCACACGTGCCTGGCTCCCACAATATGTAGCACATAACAAAAATAACACCTACGGGGTAAATTCTCCCTCACAAGGTTAGACAAGAGACTTACCTCATTTCGAAATTCGATAACTGGCTCCAACGCCTCTCTAACACCTCAGACCAATGTCTATCAATTCGAAACTAGCCAAATAACGTGCAAAACAATCAAAATATACTCCAATAGTCGTAATTTAATAATTAGAAACAAGCTCCCAACTCCTCACGAAAAGTCAACAAAATCAACTCACGGGGCCACGCGTCCGTATTCAGAAAATTATCGAAAATAAATATTAACGATAACTTATATAGTATATATCCATAAAATTATCCAATTTCGTCCATGAATTGACCCTCAAATCAAGGATTTATTATTTCATAACTTTGGGGCTCAAATCCCCAATTTCTACAATTCAAACACGGATAAAAATGATAAACAATAAAAATAATAATAATGGGAAAATATCTAAATAAAGGTTAGATATTTACCCCCTTGTTGAGACGAGAACAACTCCGCAAACATCACCTGAAACGGGGCTCTAGAACTCAAGATATGCTCAAAATATTAAAATGCTTGGTCTACACATTTAATACACTTTCCAGGTGATTTTTGTTCTTCGCCACCTTCGCGTCCGCAAAGAGCAATTTTACGCGTTGACCGATCAACCCAAAAATCCTTCTTCGTGTCCGCGTAACCTCTCTCGTGTTCGCGAAGAACAAAGGTACGCACCAAAAACCAGCAATCTTTTCCGAAACGGAAATGGGCATAACTCTCTCATATGATCTCGGAATTCGACTATTCTTGTTGCTATGGCTCCGTAATTACGATACGGATTTAATGGTCAATAAAATCACAAACTAAAGGTCTCTTTCTCAACATGATACCTTTATGCCCAAAGAAACGACGCTAAAACATCAAATAAGAGCGCGACATAATCCAAACCCATTCGAAACACATCCGACAATATCAAAAACATAATACGAACCTACTCGAGGCTTCAAATCACACCAAACAATATCAAAATCATGAATTGCACATCAATTCAAGCCTAATAAACTAATGAACTTTTAAACTTCTAAAACTCATGTCGAACCATAACAATTCAACCCGGAATGATTTCAAATTTTGCATGCAAGTCCCAAATGATACAACGGACCTATACCAATTCCCAGAACTATAATCCGGATTCGATATCAACAAAGTCAAATTTCGGTCAAACCTATCAACCTTCCAAACCTTCAATCTTCCAACTTTCGTCAATAAGCATCAAATCAACCTACGGACCTCCAAATCCAAATTTGGGCATACGCCTAAGTCAAAAATTACCATCCGGACCTAACAAAATAATCAAAACTCCGATCTGAGGTCGTTTACTCACAAGTCAAGCCTTGGTCAACTCTTCTAACTTAAAGCTTCCGAATTGATAATTATTCTTCCTAACAAACTCTAATCTTCCCGAAAATCAAATCCGGCAAGTCATAATACATGAAGTGAAGCTACTCAAGGTCTCAAACCGCCGAACGATATGCTAGAGCTCAAAATGACCACTCGGGTCATTACATTTAACATCAAGTATTACTGTAACTCAATGGAGACTTTTGACACGCTTCTTTCATAATTTTATTACATTAGCATTAAAAAGAATGAATAATCATCGCATCAAGTCTTTTTTTCTGAAATTATTTTTTTGACCACAAAGAATTCTTGCAAATTATGTTGATGATGGTTTAGTTGCACAAGAGTTTTCCGTTGTACAAATTAAAGATGCGCAAACCCTTGCTTTGCAAAGTGCAGCAATAATCTTAAATATTTAAGTTGTATGTACAAGGGTATTATAATGAACTTTTACACTAACAGTATAATTAAATCGGGTACATCAAGTTTTTGTGTGTGAGCTAATTGGTTGTTCATTTGGCAACAACAAGATGACATGCAACGGAAGACTTGTTTTTGCTATTGTTTCAATAAGTGTTTGTAATTTGAAATTGTTCAAGATCTTTTAGTAATAACACTGCAGATGAATATAATATGATATAGATCTACTACAATTACACGGTGATTAGGTATTATTCATGCCATTATCCTTGAGAAGAGCTGTTTTACAAGAAAACAGGCACATAGCATGCAATTCTTTAATAGTTTTTACCAATATTCTTATCCATATATTGAACCATTTCAAAGTCATTATAAACTTCTTATATGATTCTGGCTAATAAGTCCAAGATGTCTTTGTTAGAATTTTCCCTACTGCCTAGTCATCTTCGTATATACTTTGCTCATTTTCTATATGTATGTTGCTTTCTAATAGGTTAAATTCCACTTAATCTTTTAATTTTAATTTAGGAATGAATGCGCTCTCTTTACCTTTTAATGGAACTGAGAAGGCCTCTAAATAATAATTAAAAAAAAAGAGATAAACCATTGATAAAATTGAAATACTCTCCAGAGTGTGACGATCACTCGTACTATCAATTTTTGATGGTTCAAGATTGTAAATGTCCTAACCCTCACTCTAAATAAGGAAATATTTTTAAATACTCAGTGAGAGAGATGGCCGGACAGAATCTCCTATTTCTTGTAGAAAAATATATTGAAGAATCTTTTCAGTTTCTCAGTCATTTTGGACTTGTTGTCCCCTAAATTAGCCATAATATAGTAATACAGAGTTTGACAAAACTCAAAGAAATAACCACTCTGTAAAATATTTTCATGGAAAATGTTTTCTAGAAAATGTTTTCATAGAAAATAAATAGTTTTATCACTTAATTTCCGTTGTTTGGTTGGTGGGTGAAAAACTTTTTCCGAAAAATATTTTTTAGTGTTTGGTTAAAGAAAGAAAATATTTTCACTACAACAAATTTGGCCTATGACTACACTTATTTTAAACTACGCCTGAAAAGAGTTGCTAGAGGTATTTGTAGGCACGCTTTTATTTGTGTGGCCTTTATTACGAGCTTTTGGCAACGGAATAACCGAAGCATACAAATCAAGCGTTGAAGTCTTGTTGTTCAGTAAGTTGAAGTGATGGTGAATTCTACTTATCCGTGTTTTGCTTTGCTACAGATGAGTTATTTGAGTTTTTCTGTCATTTTTTAACTTTTTGGGGTCTTTAATCTTACGTAAGTATTCAATCACTCTCTAGTCTTTTGGTCTCTGCTCAGGTACAATAGGTTCCTCAACATTCAGGTCAGTCTTTTTCTATTTATGTATTTGTATATGATATAAGCTATGCCAACAGTGTTCAAAATCAAAGAATGAAAAAAAAGGCTTGTTTCTTGACAGAAAGAGTGTTATTTTATAAAATTTGGAACTTTTTTAATGAAATTATGGATCTATGAAAAATGAAGGTCTGGTAGTTAATTCCATTATGCAATTTGAAATTTTAGTCAAAGATCTGTAGTATTTTATCATGTTTAACTAGTTCCACTTTGTTTCAACGGTGGATAGACTCTAAAATTTCTCTCTAATTAGAAGTAGAAAATTGTGGAAAATATCATCTATAATGACTCTGTTGATTAGAGTCGTGCAATCAATCTTTGAGGCTTTAGATATGTATCATGTTCAATTAATCAATGAATTAATGACATTTTTATTGGTGTTAATATTATGCTACGGAAAATCTCAGAAAATGTGAAAACGAGTAAGAGAAATGGTATTTTAGTGCTGAGGCTTAAGTTTCCATTGGTTTACTGAATTCCTATTGGTAACCTACTTGTGGTTTAAATAGATAATTTCTCTCTAAGATGAGCACAAAACTATCTTGGTTTAGATAATTTGTTAACTGAATTCTTATTGACAAGGATTTAAAAGGAACTCCTATAGCATCCACGGATTGAGTGTGAGGCAAGATAATGTCATTGCACATGAAGCCAATAGTTGCTGCATCATTAATTGTTCTAAAGCTTTCATTAGTCTAGATTGCATTTTAAAATTTCTATTGCTAAGGTTCCAATTTTGAAAAGCAATTGTCTTTATGTAGCTGGTTCAGATTTGGGATTATCTGCTTTAGTGACAATAATGCCAATTTGTTTTGCTCATAATTTGCAGCCTCTTGTGAGTTCGAGTCAGGGTTGCTCTGATGGTAAGCGCCCTCCACTTCCAACCAAGAGGGTGTGAGTTCGAGTCACCCCAAGAGCAAGGTGGGAGTTTTTTGACGGAAGGATGCCGAGTTTCTATTGGAAACAGCCTCTCTACCCTAGGGTAGGGGTAAGGTCTGCGTACACACTACCCTCCCCAGACCCCACTAATGAGATTATACTGGGTTGTTGTTGTTGTTGCAGCCTCTTGTAATTATTGTTAGAGAATCAAGCTGTCTTAATGCCCGCCAGATGCACTTGGTATATTTTAAAGTACCTTTCTGGTAATAGAAACATCATGTGCGTCATATACATGTTTAGAACATCTAGGGGGTTGTGTTCTTATTTTATAACTCTAGATTCGTTAAGATATCACAATCATTTTAATAATTTTGGACATCATTCTGGATAAAAAGTAATCTTTCTTTGTAATTTATTCATCTTTCTTTGTTTCTTTCAGTCTTGTGTACCTAATGTCTTAAGAAGAGAGCTCTCTATCTCTAGAATCGATGCGTCTTAAAAAATATACAGAGGTGGCTACATTTTGTGTATTGATGTAGTTCTTTGTAGTTAATTTTTTTTTTGATAATCTCATAGCAAAGTTGCATGAGATGCGGATAGCTCCTATTATTTATATTGGTTCTGAACCATCTTGCGCACTGAATCCAGATTGTTAAGACAGTACACAGACTATCTTTGGATAGTTTATAATATCATGTCTCTTCTTACTAGATCTAGATGTCTTATTGGGAGAAACTTCAAAAAACATTATGATATAATCTTGATGATATGTATTCTTCCTTTTGTCTACAGGGGAGGAGTGAGATTGACACATGTACTCAGACAAATCTGATACTTTTTCAGTCGCTTAAATGAGCAGGTTGTTGCTGCTTAGTACCATGTCTTTAAAAGAACTAGGATGCCTTATTTTCATGTTGGATTAGGTTACCTTCATGACTCAGTGGGTTAAACCACTAATTTGACATGCTATTTTTTCCTTCTGGTTGCAAGCAAGTTGAAGATTGAAGACTTTCTTTTCTATATTTCATATAGTTGATTAATACAAAAGAAAAGGGTACTGATTCACGCATTGCAGGTAGATTCCTCTTACCTAAGAAATGAAAGGGGGCACTTCACCGAATGATAGGTAAAATATGGGACGTTCAGTAAACAATCCCTTAGCCCAAGTCCTCGGAGATACCCAAGGCAGCTCCCCGTGTCCTTTATACCGATGATTTTCATTATCATTCAATTTTGTATGAAAACAATATAGGTGAGATTTCATCAATTGAGCTTGCACTTGCATGCTATTGATTTCTATCTAATATTTAGGTTCATTTTGAATATGTAGGAAACTAGTAATTTTTTACGCGCTTCGCGCGATCATAAAGAAAAATAAAATATGACTAAACAATTAATGTCATATAAAAGAAACTCAATCTCTACTAATCAAACATATCTTCATGATTTTATCATGAACTATTATATTGATTACAACTTGTGAAATAAATAAAAAGAAAAAATGACACTGTATAATCGCTCTCAAAAATTTTAGCCGAAAAATGTATATTTTTTGTATATATATATATATATACACATTCCGTATGTTATATAAAAAAAAATTATACAAAATTTATATACTTTTTCGACTATAAAAAATAAATAGTTTCTCGCGGGCTAAAAGAGGAAAAAAACCCAAATAAAAAGGTTAAGTATGCATTTGGACATTTTTTGGTTGAAGTTTGAAAAACAAAAGTATTTGATCTCTAAATCTTGTTTCAAATAGCACTTAATAATATTTATAGCCAAGCCAAAATATTTTTCGTGAATGTTAGATATTCTTGTTTTGAGAATTTTCCTGCATGTGATAATGCTCCACCAATCCAAATTTAGCGGTTAGCAACAATTCAATGAGTGAGATTAGAATTCTATTAACATCATTCTTATACGCTATAATAATTTTTAGTTTTCTTGTTTTACTTTCTATTTTTGGTTCTAACAGAAGCAGCTACTACAATGACCAAAACTTAGTTTTAATTAGACTACTCTTATAGCTCTGTAATCACAGTTTTCAATATTAAATAAACAAATTCTCAAGAGTATGCCAAGGTAAAATGATAAATAAGGATGATACCCAGTTTATACTTGAGCAAATCCAAGCAACTCTTTCTTTGTAAATAATCAAAGTAATAAAATCTAAAAAGATATGAAGAAATGATTGACTGCCAAGGGCGGATCTATGTAGGGGATTGGGGGTGGTACGCCACCCGATCACTCTCGAGTAAAATCATATATATGTGATGGTATTTTTCTTAAAATATTGAACATATATAACGGGTGACATCCCAAAATCACAAAATGACAGTAGGTGCCACGATTAAAGCATTGTAACTCCACATAAAATGCATCTCTATTGTGGTCCTAGTTGTTTTGTTTCGTCCTAGTTGTTTTGTTGTCATCTGTATTCCCATCCCTTTCTTTTCTGTGTGCTCCTTCTTTTAAATTGTTTTAATTTCTTCACCTTTGTTATTCACTCTATTTTGTACAATCTCATTTTTATTATTTATTTAAATTGTATATCTTCCTTTTTCTTTTTCTAGATCTTCAAATTTATTTGAATGTGATTTTAATCATTTTCTCTTTTTATCCATCTAATGTTATTTTATTAATTTTAGAAATTAAAATGATGCATCAAAGATATAATATTAATCGAGCTATATGTAGATTGAAGTGGTGTATTTTCTAATTTAAAATTTTATTTTTACTTTATATTTTTTAATCATATTAATCGAATTTGAATCTAGAGAATTTGACCGAATTAGACAGAACTTATTCAATTTTGTGATATATTCATTTATGCATATAACGATCTTTTAAATTGAATTGAATTAATTCAAAATGGACCGAACCGAACCGAATTAAATAAAAATGGATCAAACAGACTAAATATACACCCAAATTTAATCTCTTCACTATGGTTGGTTTGCATTAAAAGCAATGGCACCAGGGGCGTACGCAAAAAAATTTATAAGCGGTGTTGAAATTTATAGAAGAACGTTAATTAATAACTTTAGTTATCATACTTAGAGACAAGAAATAACTTTAGTCTATTGGTTTTGTTGAGTCTAAACTTAGAAAAAGTCATGAATTAAATTCTATTTCATCACAATTTTTAACCACATACATTCTCTCAAATATTTGCAAAAATGATGTGCTAGTTGATGTTTGAACCTCTGACCTCTTAGAGCAAAATCAAGCACATAATCAATGCGCCAAAAGACTATTTATGTCAATATTGGTGTCATTTTTTCCAACTTATGCGCTTCCTCACAGTATTAATACATATATTTTGTAAACAATTACGACGGTGTCGCATGACACCGCTTCGATAAATGTGCATCCTCCCATGAGTGGTACCCATAGCCACCAAATCTTGGATCAGCCTCCGCGGACTGCTTAATAAAAGAAAGGAATAAAAATCTTGCGTAAAAATAAAAATTTTGATCACATAAATGTAAATCAAATAAAATAAAAATGAAAATTTCGGAATCCAACGTAAAGTAAAACAAACCAAGCGAATGATGTTAACAAAAGTGAAGTGTTAGTAATGCTGCGATCTGCTTCTTCTTTATGTTTTCTGAAATACTAATTCAACTTTTCCTTCTTTGTCTGAATATTTTGCCTTTGGGTCTCTCAGTTTGTTTTCTTGGCATTCGTTCACTTTCCCCTCCTTTGTACTCGTACCATTTTACAAATATAAGAATATCCAAAATTCAAAATATATAGTGCTACAATGCAGGTAATAAAAGTGGTATAATCTTATCTTTCCTCGTTAAGACCACCAGCCAGCCACAATATGATGTCTTAACTCTTATCAGCAACTCATGCGATAAACTGCTCAAATAACTCTAACCTGCCAATACGATAAAGAAGAAAGATGTTATGCTCACGTTTTCTCGGCATAGTTTATAGAAGAACTTGCTCTCACTGATTAATGCAAATGCCTTAGAAAGACCTGATAATACCACCATGGATGAATTGACACTTTTTTCCTGAATTCTAGAGTTGATCCAGTCATCACTCTTCCTGTTTTCAGAAATGCCTCTAATATGATCATGTCGACGATAGAGGAAAATTTTCATTTTTAGGGGAGGGATGATTACATATAAAAACAATAGGTTACAACCAGTGTTTTTGAAGGAAATTACAGTCATTCATATCCAACTCAAAACACATGAGAATAGAGAATTTATAGAAAGTTACCATAAACTTGTGAAGATTCAAGGTACCAAAGTTCAAGGTTTACCGGTGATGACAAACTTGTGAAGATTCATCTGAATGCCTATGAGATTTCCTTGAATGAAATCGTAATGGTGGCAAAGAGATGTGGCGCCAAAGAGATGTGGCTTCGCGCACACTCTTGAAATGGAAAAGCCTAAGTTTTCGCTTGTCGATTGTGAATCGGGTGCTTTATTCCTCTTTCATAGGTCTTAACGGAAGTATAAGTAACTGAAACGGTGCCATTGTTATTTAATAATTGATTATTATGTTGAAATAAGAGGGATAAATATAAAAAAAATGAGATAATAGATAAATACATTTCCTGATTTATTAGAGGTGCCAAGTCACCTTGGTTAGGCCCTCAATTATATATATATATATATATAGATGTTTGGCGATGCTCTGGATGGTGGCCGGAAGTCAATTTCATATGCTTGAAGTTATTGATCAAGGCAATTGGACAATTATGATGTTTATTAGCCATGGCACTATATGAACAGTTTTGTGAAGAGCGTGAAGCGAGAAAAAGCGACAACCCCCATTTCGCTTAAAGCGAGAAGCGAGAAGCGAAGCGCTCGCTTTTTTAAAGTGAAGCGGAATTTTAAAAAAAAATTAAAATAAATACTGCATAGACAACACATGTAATTGTAAGCAAATATTCAATACTTCAATGTAAAAACTAAATAGTAGCATCAATTAAAGCACAAAATGAGCATCCTATTCTTCTACAAGATTGTCAAATTCTTTTATTCCACTATCATTATTATATTGCTCGTCATCTTCTTAAACTTCTTCTTCTTCATCAACTAGGGACAAAGTAGCTGCCATTTTTACCTTCCTCTGTGAACTTGAAGTTGAGGTACTCCCCCTCAAACCATAAATCCTCTCCCCAATTACACGCGCCTCCGCAACATCACCCCAAGTAAAATCGGAAGTTTCTTCAAATATTTCTTCATCCGCATGATCTTCCGGGACTCCAGTTAGCCATTCATTAGCATCATCGATGTTGTCCAAACCAATTGGATCAACTACATTGCGAGCGTTGTAACGACGCCTCAATGTTCTATTATACTTAATGAATACTAGATCATTGAGACTCTTCAAGGTTAGTTTGTTCCTCTTTTTGGTATGAATCTGCAAATAATAAGTAATTAATAAGATTAGGACAATTGAGATATAATTTAATTATCTCTATATACTAAATCTTTCTTCTTAGTTCTTACATGTTCAAACACGCTCCAATTCCTTTCACACTCGGATGAGCTACATGTTAGACTTAGAACCTTGATGGCAAACTTTTGTAAATCTGGAGTGGAATGGCCATATTGCTTCCACCATTCAACTGTAGAAGTAGAACAAATTTTTAAAATATAATATTGATAAAGAAATAACTTATTAACTATAAAACAACATATAAGCACTCGCTCACCTGGTGACTCCGTCTTTCTTTGTCTAATCGCCATGTTTTTTCCAAAAAGTTGCTCAGCATTCCTATAAATACTAAATTGCTATGTTATTTTATCTTGCACGGATTCTTCAGGTATCAACTTCTCAATACATTCATAGTATCCATTCCACAAAGGTTCATCTCCTAGAATCCTCTCTTCATTGTCATAAAACAGTTCCGGGTTCAAAACAAGTTCAGCTGCATGCAAAGGGCTATGAAGCTTACTATCCCACCTTTTATCTATGATCTCAAAGACTCTTTTGTATATTCTTTGATCACTAAAAGAGGCTTGAATAGCCTCCTTTGCCCTATCCATTGCTTCGTACAGGTAGCCCATGTGTGGCCTTTGCTCCCCATCCACCAAACGAAGTACTTTAACTAAAGGACCACCAATCTTCAATGCATGAACCACATTATTCCAGAATGAAGGAGAAAGTATAATATCTGCAGATTCTCTCCCTCGAGCTTCCCTTCCATAGGCACTGTTAGTGTACTCATCTGAAACAAACAACTTCTTCAAATTGCTTTTTTGCTCATACATCCTATGCAAAGTCAAGAAAGCAG